AAAAAGTTCGCGACAGCAGGAGATTATCAAAGCTCGTATTATCTGAGACGCAAACTTCACTAACACATCATGTTGATAAGAAACAACTTTATATTTTCAGCATATCTGTAGCATGTAAGACGCATGTGCTATTCCGCAGATTTTAATAACCAAACGCAAAGCCATAAAAAGCCTCAAGCGGGCTTTCTGGATTCAGGTAACCCCTACGGCTGCATTTACAAAGCAGCTTACCACTTCGGCGGAGCAGCTCGGAGCACGGCGAAATCTTCAATCAAAACAAGAGTCTGGGGCAGGATAGCCACTCTAATCACAAGAGCTCCCAAGAGGCACCGCACTCAATCCTGCAGAAAAAAACATACACGAGCGTCTAAAAAGAAATGGTCGTCGGCCAACCACCGCGTCCCGGCCTATCTGTCCAATGACCAGAGGAAAGGCTGAGGTCGGGAGGCCACGACGGGACCATAAACCGCCCCGAGACAGCGCGGCGGTTGGGGACGGGACATTCAAGATCGAACTATGGGTTGGAGTAGGGCGGAACTCAATATAAGACAGGGGCTAACGGTAGAAACTGCAAACGGGACCACTGGCTGGCGCTGGAATGTAATAAAGAACAATGGAACGTCAACTGACCGCCTCTTTGGTAAGGATCAGGGTTGGCACAGACGGAGGGAGACAGGGCCAATCGAAGGCTGTCGGAAGTGCGACACATCCATCCGGTCTACTGTTCAGAAGGATCGTTAGTCGAACGTATCAGTAATATTGCAATCGGTCAATTGGCGAGACTTTCGAAGGACGGCACCAGATTTGGAGATCGCAAAAAAAAAGTTTACGGTGCTGTTTGCACCGACTACAACAATATGGAGAGGTACTTCAACCGTTGACTTCCTATGTTAATTTCAAATTGTTTGGTTCTGGGCATTTCGGACATAAACCATTTCAATTTTCAAGCCCTGCCTATTTCAACGTTGTCGTTTTTCACGTATCGTTGTAAGGAGCCGCCTTGAAGGCGCCCCCTGCCCCGACGCCAACAACTGACCGGGGCAAGGGGTCGGAGTAGACGGTCCGCCGGAGCCGCCGACTCGGGCTGTCAAACGAGGCGTGAGGTCGAGGTTATACAGAGTCCGGATTGGGGGGGGGGGGAGACAAAGTAAAGGAACAAAACAGGCTGGCTGCCTGAGCTACTGGGTAGAGCTTGAGGTCAGAACAGCACGGATTGGGGCATGGAAGTCGCGCTGGTTAAGCACGAACGACAAATCTTTCGGACAGGCCAGGGTGGCGACCGTACCCGTCAAACTGGCTCGGGGTCGGTTGGGCCGCGTGGGTCAACTGACAGCGTCGGTGACAAGTGGGATCGATAGACAGTAGACGAGACGTTCCCGTGACCGTACCCCCGGGCAGTGACTGCCAGCTGAACGGCCACTCCAGTGTGCTCGTCGAGCCAACTCGCCGGTTTTAGTGGAGCCGAGAGCCGATAGTGGGGTAATGTGGTTGAGTGGTAAATAGCTACACCAAGTTTCGCGGCGCTGCGCACTGCGGTTTTCTTTACAAACGCAAAAACAAGATGGTAATTGGTAGATATGGCCGAAAACGCCCCGCCCCAGCCGAGAGAAAGTTAAGGAGGCCTGCTAATTGCTCGACTTTTCAATTCATCGCGTTTCTGTCTTGGCAAGTCGTGCCATTTTGGGGCACGAGCTGGAAGGCCTCCACGCGCCGCCGTTTTTGAGACATTCGCAAACAAAACGCAGAGTCGGAAGGTCAAACATCCCCCCCCCCTGCAGGACGCGAGTTAACATGACCTGGTGACCAAACCTTGTGTGACCTGGGTTTCAAAATATTGCAAACGATGCTAAATTGAGGAATCATAATTGCTATGCCAAGTTTCCTCCACCTCAAGCAGGTAAACCTCTGTGTCTCATTACCGACCATAGGCTCTCGCCGTTGAGCTCGTAATTTACCCACAAATCTGCTCGGCCTCTGAAGAGACCTTCACCGGCACGTGAAGAGCCCTCCACCCTCCGACAGGAGGTGGCGGACCTATCAGAATCTGGCGCAGCTGTGGCGACTGTGGCGCACGTAGCGGCGTGAGTGGCACCATAATCCGCAGCGCCGCGGCAGAATCGGCGCAAGGGAGGAGGGTGTTCGTCTCGTCGGAAACAATCAGCTGGCGACAGGGGTACTGGAAGTGACGTCTATTTATAGACACAATCCTGATGAGATGCGCTGCTGACGTCATGGACTCTGTTGTCATGGTAACGCAGTAGAACACAGCAGGTGGGCAGCTCACACATGGACGCAGAAGTTTTACACATCGCCAAGTTAAGCAATCGTTTTACTTAACCCTCGCCCGTATAGGGGGGGGGGGTCGAACGGACCCCCCCCCCATGGTTTTTCGCAAATAACTCGCGTAAAAAGCGGCCGATCGCGACGAAACTTTCAGTACCCTCGCGTTCATCAATTTTACACCTACCCTGAAAATTTCGTGACCCTGACCTAAATGACCTTTGACCTGTGACCTACTTTTCGAGACCATGTTTGGCCGGAATCGCGATTCGGCGTATGTCGGCTCGCATTAGCCGCGCGTTTGCAGTCTTTTCGTGGTTTCAAGCGTTCAAACATGTGATATGATGTTGCCCCCATGCATTAGGGTGGGTGTCAAGGTCACCTGAAGGTCAGGTCAGGTCATTGACCTTTGATGACCTCGGTTCACTTTTTCGAGTTTTGCATGTTCCTAGACCAGTTTTTGGAGCTGAATTCGAATTTAGCAACCATATGAACATTTACGAAGTAGTTTTGGTGCCTTCGTAACATGTTACGAAGCTGTTAGAGGCGGTTGCCACCTACTACGAATACCCTTACTGGTTGACCTGACCTGACCTGACCCGACCTGGCCTAAATGCATGAAGACATCATCTGTGATCAAAACTAACATGATATTCGTGATCAGCACCCCGAAAAACCTCATAGCAGCCACACTTTACGACGTTCTAACAGGTCCCGATTTTCCCGACTTTTGGGTCATTGACCTGACCTGCAAGGTCAACCAATGACCTAGGACCTTAAAATTGGGTATTATCGGCTTCCTCTCGTCACGGGCAACACGCTCGTTTTTTCCGCGAAGCTCTAGCTCGATCAGGGGCGAAACGGCAAGGGGGGGTCCAACGGACCCCCCCCCCCCTTATACGTTCGCGGCTGGAAAAACACCAATACGGGCGAGGGTTAAATAAGATGTTATGTGAATGAATTAAATGGGAAATGTGCAGCATGTGTACTACATAAATATAATTTTCACACCGTGTCATATCAACTTCACATAATAATTGCAATGCCGACTTACGGCCGTTTTGCACACATCATCCGCCTGTACGGTCTACTCATCCGAACATCCGGTTCAATCTCCACTGCCCCCCCCCCCCCCGGAAATACGAGTTTCGTCCTCCAGCTCGGTCGATCGTAAGTGCATCGTTTTGGTCCGTCCCAACGGAAGTCAGCATAGTGGCCCAACGGAACAAGCTCCATTTGGTACTCGGGTTATGGCAGTTTGTGAGATAGAAGGATACGTTAGGGGTATGATCCTAAATGGCAGTGATCTAGCATAACTAATAACTATGGATGATGTAATAAAGCTATAACCCCGTCTCCTTGAGAGGTCTCCTTTGCCTTATGTCACCGTTTTCGCCAGCGTAAATTGGAGATCAGCCAAGAGCACCGGGATAAATGAGTGAATACAGTCGATAGAACATACGAGATGGATGGATCGAATGGCCGGTATGGGTATGAGAAGTATATGCAGTTTCTCATCCATAGTTGTTGGAAGGAGCATTAGAAATGACTACTGGCTAAAAATGGCTGACTTGTTCTGTATAGCAATATATTTATCAAAACATCCTTTTGTCTGTGTGTGTGTTTTTTTTTTTTTTTTGCTCGTTGTATTAAAACACATGCATAGATACCATGCACGTAAATTTCATAACACATCTCAAATGTCATGAAATAACTTGACAAAATAATCATGTAATCTATCGCACCCACTCACTGAAATGACAAGTTCTACATACGGATAATTTATTCGTAAAATAGCGTTTAGAATCATTCAAGGACCATGAAAATCGTATTCATTTCGAAAAGCAATCACGCTTGTCAGTAATATTGTAAGTATATTGTAAAGGCCTGGCTACACTATGCGTTTCCTGCGTGCGTTTTTTGCGAGTTTGCGTGATTTGCGTAATATCGTTCAATAAAAAAAACGTTATTACTAAAATAACTTCTTTAATATTTATTCAAAAGTTAATAAAACTTTTATACTAATTTCAAGTTTATATGAAAGACATATAACAAAAACGTAATGTCGTTTCTTTCTAGAACGATATTACGCAAATCACGCAAACTCGCAAAAAACGCACGCAAAAAACGCATAGTTGTAATATCATTATCTCCATTCCAGTCATCTGTTTTCTGCGTCGAAAATAACACCATCCACCTCTTCCCCTGCCCGAATACAGCATCCATTTCGACTGGACCGTCTCGGTTCGACCTAGCCAAGGCCGTATGGCTCACTCCCACCATCCAAACCAGCAGAGAATGAGCTCATTCATTCGTCTATCACGACCGCCGGCGGAGCTGTTTCTGAATTCTCGGCTCGGCCGGCATATTTCACGGTAACGCCGCTGATGGGAACGGTCTACGTAAGGACACCCCCGGGACGAGAGCGGGGGTGAAATATGACATATTCACGAGTGGAAATGTCTTGCTGGCTTGTTTCGGTTTCACCGTAAGGGACAAATAACCGATGCGGTGGAGACGTTTTAGAAGAAAAATGGTGCCGAAACAGCAAGAAAGACAATAAACTTATTAACGGCACAGTTCAGTCTAGCAACAACTGAATCCTATAAGGAAATAAGCCTTCATGGCGGGTACCACGGATCGATTCCTGATCATTTAGCCCATAGGCGAAAATAGCAATAATCGAATATTACGATGCATTGGTACAAAAAACGTAAATGTTTTGTTATTTGTTCGCATTTCTGACCATCCACTTATCAAATCAGCGCATTTGTATATTTCACACGATTTGACGTTTTTAATCACTGACATGACCCCGTACACCATTCTCGTATACACCCTGTATACACGTTCTCGTCAGTCAGTATGCGTTCATAGCCGAGCACCAACTTTCGCGCGTCCGGACGACCGCGTAAAAAAGGACACTTAACACTTAATTATACCGCGCACACCGGCAAAGCTCTGACCTAGAGCCCAAAACTGTTACTACCTAATTCTATCTTATTTGTCACAAATACGGTGTTAGTCATGCATTTTATCATCATCCAACTAAACTGTTTTGTTCTTTTCTATACAAAATTGAAGATATTGTATCTTCCATAGAAGGATACATTTGCTGCTGCACATTTGCTGTTAGGCCAACTTCATACTTCATGAAGCTTCTTTGCACCATCAACCTTCATGAGCTTATTTGACATTCCGATCTTCTCTGAAGATAGCCGTCTCATCTAAGATGACCGAAATATGGTCTAATATCACGCAACTCTTAATGTGACGTCATATAACTTCACATAGATGTCACGAAATACACCTCTAGATGTGACGTCATACAGCACCTCAAAGATGTGACGTCTCATGATGTCACATATCCTGAGACTGAGAGAGCACCGAGGTATAACGCCACCTCTCTCGGCTTCAGGTAAAATGGAAATGGAAAGCTGCTCTCTACCATTTCCAATTTTCTCTGTCTTACATCAGCTCAGTTGCATCATCCTTCTGTCTTAAAAGGTACATCGGTAATATAATATCCATCCTAGTCCTTAGCATGCGTACCTTTGCCTCCTTTTGATTTATCATTATTCTGACATTCGTCATGCACTGACCCCTGTTCGCTTGCATTTTAACATCCGTCTAGTCTCAGTTTCATCCTCTAAGTGAGGGGCTCAGATTTCTGAGGGCTTTAGATTTATGACGGTTCCAGAACTCCATAATTCCGGAAGTTCACATTCCAATAATTACACCACTCCATGACACAGGAGCTCGGAAGGGTCAGAATTCTAGATCTCTAGAATTACAGAAGTCAAGAGCACCGCAAAACTACAAAATCACACATTTCCATACAAAGCTTCTTGGAATTCCGAGCCTCTGGAAACAAAGCTTCTAGCAAACAGAACTTATGCACAGCACTGCTAACATACAAAGCTTCTAGCATACGAAGCTCCTAGCATTTACGGAGCTTGCAGCATGCAAAGCTAGCGAACACAGCTTCTAGCATACAAGGTCTCAAGCGTACAGAACTTCTAGCATACATAGCTCCTAGCATACAACACTTCTCGCATACAGAGCTTGTAGCTCACAGAGCTTCAAGCATACGTAGCTTCTACCTTCCACTCGCGAAGTTTCCAAGGTAAGGTACCGAAGTGATATTTCAGCATCCGGATGCAGTACCGAAGCACCTCCTCCCCCCTCCTCCTACCCTCTCCCACCTCTCACAACTCCTGCCTGCTCATCTCGAACACGTTCCAGTCGGCCCTCAGCGCGGCCGCTCCGGGCACGTCCTCCAGAGCCGGCGGGGCGCTGGCCGTGCCCAGTCCACTGCGGAGGTTCACCCTCAGTGGATCCCCCAGCAGGCGGCTGAAGAGATCCGTAGCGCGCGCCAGGAAGCTCGGGGCAGGCGCCGGAGGGTTCATGGCGTCTACTCGAGCCAGGCACGAGGGGAAGTCCTCCTCGGCGTAGCACTCCTCCAGACGTTCACCGGAGGAGCGGCTGTATCTGTGGAGGAATGGAGTGAGAGGGTGAGAACTGAGACGTAAGACATACGAAGATAGGTGATAAGGGTGGTCATGCCAGCGCAATGTGAGAAGCGAGACGCTGGTGTCTACGGGAAGCAATGAGATGAGAGAAACGCCTTTCTGTTCCCCCGGAAGAGCGGCTGTCTCTAATGAAGTAAGAGGGTGAGAATGGAGAGGTGAGATTCTGACTGTGGGTGCAGATGTGTGAGAAGAGTGATCATGTCAGCACGATGTGAGGACTGAGAGACTAGTTACAGACTGCGAGGAGCAATGGTGGAGGGGTGAGAAATGAGACGCTCCTGAAAGGGGATGGGAAAAAGGGGATGACCTGGCGTGGGGAGTGATAAAAACGAAATCCGATAGGACTAGTTGTGTAAAGAACGCCTGCACATCAACAAAACAATGCTTTACATTCATCACATGTCTGCGGACTCGTGATCATGTTCCTTTGGCAATACAACTATCATTTAAGTTGGTGTCAGCAGACTGGGTCGCGTGCGCCCAAATCAAGCTAACGACATTATCTTTACATACAAAAAGAAATGTATTAGACAAACAACACATGTCCTTGTCTTTTCCAGTCTGTTACGCATGCATTGTCCACTCTCAATCACTACTTACTTTTCTGGCTAATTAGGAGATAACCATTCTGCCTGTCCCTAGCCTAGTGTCATGTCACATACAACGATAAAGCGAAAAACGGAGCATATTGCCGGTACTGCATTATAATGGCCCCCTCTATAACAATGACCTGACCTATTCACTTAGCTGCCTCCTCTCTCAGTCCCCCCCCCCCCTTCTCACCTATCCAGCGGTAGTGGCGGATGACCGCGCCTCCGTAGCAGCTGATTCACATAGCCCACGCCGTGTTCGACAATCTCCCTGACATCGTCGGGGAACGGCTCCACATCGGCGGGGAAGTGGGGAGGGTGGCGGTGAGCTACGCCGTCCGCATCCTCCTGTGGGCGGTCAGAGGGGGTCAGTATTGAACAGCTCCTGTGATGGTGGCTGGTTGTATGGTGGTTAGGGGCAGGCAGTGGTTGAGGAACGGACAGTGGTTAGGGGCAGGCAGTGCTTGGGAAACAACAGTGGTTAGGGGCAAACAGTGGTTGGGGGCAGACAGTGCTTGGGGGCAGACCAGACAGTGGTTGGGGAACGGACAGCGGTTGGGGGCAGACAGTGGTTGAGGAGCAGACAGTGGTTGAGAAATATGTTTGGGGAACAGGGGGGAATTTAGCGGACTGTCAGTTTAGTTTAGAGATTAGCATACAGTGGTTCATAAGTGAGACTGGAGAGCCGTTGGTTAGCAAACGAGGCGCTTTAGACAACAGTCTGACAAATAATAGAAAAATACACATTTTGACGTCAGAATGCGAAACTTGGAGAGCACAGTTTCAGCACTTAGCTTACCTTCTTGCAGTGGTGACTGCGTTGTTGTAGGTACCGAAAGAAAGACAACAGACTATTGCAGTTTCATTGTACGAGTAAGTATCAAACAAATATTTCTTTGAGGACTTTATTTTACCGAACACCATGGTATGCAACACATTCCCAATGAAATACTGAACACATATTGACCAGTACCTTTCTAAACTATATACCAGTAAAACGCCTTTTGGGCGAAGAACGAGAGAGCGAGATAGTGAGCCCTGCACGTGCGGAAGGGCGAGAGGGTACTTCCAACGGGCTTGCGCAAGCCGCAAAGCACCCTTCTAACCGGTCGCTAGCGGTGTACCAAATTTGAACGCAATCGGCCCAGCCGTTCCTGAGATCTGGAAGCGGCATTCTGCACGTGCGCGCGTGCAAACGGGGTCCAAACTGACTTTAACACGGCACCCTACTAACTGGTCCCCAACCGTGTACCAAATTTGAGCGCAATCGGCCCAGCCGTTCTCGAGATATGGAAGCGCCCTCTGCACGTGCGCACGTGCAGTAGAACCTTAACCGCAACACATGGGAATGCATTATCTGGTGGGTGCCTACCTGTATGCCAAGTTTCAGCGAAATCCCCCCAGTAATTGCCGAGTTATTAAAATGGGAACAAATTTGACACCTCTTATTGTTGTATTTTGCACGTGCACTGGGGGTGACCCACATGCATCGAGAGTATCCTATTTTTGGTAGAAGGGATGCTGCTACCTTACAAAAATTACCGCAAGCCAATCGCCCAAGCGGCTGCTGAGATATGAGCCTCTCAAAATCACTACTTTTGCAAAACAGCTTGATTACCCTTGACTTTTCACATGGCACGTGCCACGACGGTCACTGAGGTGTATCAAGAGTAGTCAATTACGGGGTAGAAGGGATGGGGCTACCCAGCAAAAAAGACCGCAGGCCAATCGGTCCAGCGGTTGCTGAGATATAAGCCTCTCAAAAGCGTTACAGGCCGGGCCGGGCCGGGCCGCTCATACTGAGATTTTTCCGTTATATTGAAAAGACTCGCTTCGCTCGCTGCGCTCGCTCGCTCGTAATCACAATGCATGGAGGCTCCAACTACAGCAATTGGTCACACCATATCGATCGAAAATGTGATACAATTTACATGACAGGCAGACAACGTTCGTTACCAGCGCGCCGCAAAGTCAGCGACACAAGCATAATGCATTCTTCCTGAGCCTAGAAATAAAACTATGAAAACAAAAGTAAATCAGACAATGTATATTAGACATACATTGAAAAGGTCACATAAGATGAACTCCGTCAAAAGCAGCTCATGTTTTACATTAGTGAGTGCGCCATTTCTGAATCGACACAGTGATGCCAATCCACACAATCTCGGACAAGCTAACCGTCACCATGACAACCAAATGTTATCACTTTCACTGCTCGTGCCTTGTCCCATCACATACCTACCTACATATCACCGTAAATATGGGGAAAATGCATACTTCCTGATCAGTGAGTCATGGATAGCCCAGATAAGTAACGTATCACCTTTCTTTCTACAAACGATTATCTACCTAGCTCAGTGTTATAACTGAATGCCACTTTAACGCATTGTAAATTAATGCAATTTTTAGAATGTTGTTTAGCATTGTCATGTTATGACGAAGCAGATTCACTCAAAATTAGCATCAGTATAACAGGAATTCACTGAGCAGATAATATGTTACCTGACAAGCCCGATAACAAATATAAAAAGACTATGCTCAACAGTTAAAAACCGCTTCATTACCCGATTCATCCTTCATATGAACCAATTATTCATATGGCTAGCATGCAAATAAGATGCCGTCTTTTTAACATCCGCAAATACGCAACTGATATGCCTTATCCTTGCCGCCCATAAATTAGGTACATTATTTCTCTTCGTTATGAGCTGAGGGAACCATACCATCATTCGGAGCACGAGCATACACATCACTTGAATCGCCTTCCTTTCCGACTTTGATGTCTTGCTTCTTCCCTTCAGTATTTCCCTCTACACCCGTATCACGGCCAGCAGTTTTCTCTTCTTTGACATTGTCTGTTTTATTTCCATACCTTGTATGATCATCTTCTTCCACATCTTCCGCTACGTTGCCAATTTCTTCCTCTCTGTTATCACTCGTTGTTGAAGTCACTTTTGCATTCTCTTTCCGTATAGATTCTCCGTTTCCATCTCCATCTCCTCTTTCCGGCTCACTCGCTCTCTCCGTCCGTTCTGAATGTCCCAGCTCGTTGCCATCCTTCACCACCATCAGACCCTGGAACCTCTCCAGTAGCCCATCCCCCTTCGTTTCCGACACGTTCATACTCTTCTGCACCGTCTCCACCACTCTCTCCACCATCCTCTCCTCCTCTTCACTCAGCGCTCTCGCTGTGTCTCGCTCAGTACTCTCGCCACCCCGCGCGACATTTAGTATGGGCCCCACGGCGCTACCTAGAGCACCCCCAACCGCACTGCTTAGAACTCCTCCTAAAGGAGAAGCGCGGACGTGGTCACGAATAGTCTCAAACCATGACTTTATATGATATCTGAAATTCATTTTGTCGATTCTATACACACAATCCTCTAACTTCTCATCTTCTAGACAATCCTCCAACTGCTCCGCCCTCCGTGAGCTACCGTTGAAGAACTCGTACTCTTCGACCGGCAGCGGGGTGAGATGCCGCCTCTCCAACACGTTCTGTATCGTTTTCACGCTGAGGTCGATCATTTTCCGCAGCTCAGACGGGAAGGGGGTCACGGCACGGGGGCGATGCTGCTGGTGGCGTTGTGCTCGTCCTGACTGGTCCATCTGTCGGGGAACGGACGGAAGAGGTGTTAGAGGCAGAGAGGGCCGGGACCATTGCCTTTGGTATTATTTCGGTTCAGTGCGGTATGGTAATTGATATTTTAGGCGGCAATCAAGGCCAATATTCAATGAAAGTTTACCTACATTTAATTCTTATATTCCTATAGCATTGAAATAAATACCCAACATAATTGTATCTTTTGACGAAAAGGCAAAATAAACTTAAGAAAAGCATATAGCAATTAGCAATCCATAACAACTAAAAAATTAGCATTAAAAGCATGGAAATTGGGTAAATATGGACTAATTTTCATTTCCAATCAAATGGCTGGGCCGTCAAGCAAAATTACATCATCTTATGAGAAAGACCTAAACACAGCGTAAGCAAGAAGTCTTATAAATCACCATGACAACACTCATTACAACCGTCAAATCCAATTCAATCAAGAACGGAAATGAGCTCGGTTAATACACTTAACGCGTCAATCCTACTAGTGATTGGGTGATTGCAAAGCAGTCAATTGGGTTTCGAGGTCCAGCACACAAGTTTCCCAACAAGCAGTAGCTGTTTACGAAAGACGGGCGGTATTTGGTCAAGCTGAGTGGCAGATTTCGACACCGCTACCGCCGTCCTATCGAGACAGGAGAGATTTAATGACGGTATTTGGATTCGATTACTGAACGAGGGTATCTTGGCAAATTTCGTCAGCAGAATAATAAAACTGGGAGTTCTAGTTATCCACGGTGCGTTTACTTAGCTATTTCATGGTGCACATGACAAGATAATTGGAAATGTAACAAAAACGCAGGAGAGTGAGGCAGAAAAAAATCAGCAAGGAAGTTTATGTATATCTTCAATTGATATCGCTTCATAAATAGCAAAACTCATTTTTCATGGAATAGCTCATTATGCAGCTAAAGAAGGTGCTCAAATTTGGATACATGTAGTAACCAGTAGGTCCTTTCTTTGTGCTTCATATATCGAACCAGGAAATGGATGGGTAACATTTGCCGGCCCGGGGCGAACAGTTGAGTGTTGACTCTCACGGTCGGATACTTTTCTGTGGTGCGTATGCTTTCAATGGCAGTAAGACACACCAAATTACCAAAAGATAAGAGTTGCGAAGAGATATATCCACAATGAGAAGCAGAAGAAAAAAACACAAATAAAAGCGAGGTCCCAAGCACCACACATAACACAAATACCAACAGATACAAAGAGAAGAAGCTATTCTACTTACGACATCGGCCTTGATCCAGTGAATACTCCACCAACGGCACCAAGACGACACACAGATGCTCAAAACCGAAGTTTTGCGTCGATACACAACTGGGACGGACAAATCGAAAAAATAAAACACGCTAAAATTCATTGTGCGCCGGGGAGAATGAGTGACGCAACGTAGCGAACTGATGCAAGCGGTTACGTGCGGTGACAAAAAATAGGTGACGTGCGTTGACGCGCCATGACGTAACAATAACGTGATGTGATGTGATGTGATGTGACGAAGCGCATGCGATCACATGCGTTGGTGCTCACGCCGCTGAAAAACCCGCGTTGAGGGGAAAACGAAGATCTTCTGTGCCAAGTGCATAGAAAGCACAAGATGTTGTGCTTGAAAACGGATTGAAACCTCAATGGAATACTACAGGTTACCTTCACCTCACATAAAGATAACTTCCCTTTTCCAGAACGCATTGGGACGACATAATGATCAATGCCCAAAAAAAATGAAATGGCGTCTCTAGTTCTCATATAACAATTCACGCAAACTAAGTCTACACAACCCAATGCAACCGTCCCACGATTCCTGAAATCCACTAGCTATGTTACTTTTCTAGTTCACCAACAAAGTACTCACCTGCACACATTTGAGCCTTTCTTCATCAATCGGCCAGTTGAGGAATTTCAGCATTCTCCTCAGCTGTCCGACCGGGTCGCTCTTGAGATGCTCATAATGAACAACGAGCACTCGATTTCCGGGCTCTGTCCACTTTTGCACGTGAGCGCTCCACTCGAAGACCTGCTTCATGACGAAGGTGCGCCAGCCTGTGGAAACCGACGCTAGGTGTCACTACCAGCGCCGGCGCTGACTAGGTAGCGCCAGTGAGCCACATTGGACAGGAGCTCCTCTCACAGTCCCCTTCCCACAGACACCGATGCACTATTGCGTTATGAGACAAAGGACCGCACCAGGGCCACCCGACAGAAATGGTTCTTTTATTACGGAGCGAGCGAAGCGAGCGTAGTCTTTCCTTAGATTAACGGAAATTTCTAAGTATGAGCGGCCGGCCGGCCGGCCGGCCGTGGTCACGCTTTTGCGAGGCTTATATCTCAGCAACCACTTGACCGATTTACACGCGGTAATTTTTGTCGGGTAGCTTCATTCCTTCTACCAAGTATTGGACTATTCCTGATGCATGTGGGTGACCCCTTATGCACGTGCCACGTGCAAAACGAAGAGGTGTCCGTTTTGTAATTGTTGCAATATCTCGGTAACTACTTGGCCGATTGCGCTGAAAGTTGGTATGTAGGTAGGCACCCACTAGGCACTGCATATCCATGTGCCAGAGGTGGGGCGCTGCTGCACGTGCGCACGTGCAGGGGTCGTTTCCAGATCTCGAGAACGGCTCGACCGATTGCGCTCAAATTTGGTACACAGTTAGGCGGGTTAGAAGGGTGCCGTGCACAAGTCAGTTGGGACCCATTTTGCACGTGCGCACGTGCAGGGTGCCGCTTCCAGATCTCGAGAACGGCTGGGCCAATTGTGCCCAAATTTGGCACATCGCTAGAGACCGGTTAGTAGGGTGCCGTGCACAAGTCAGTTGGAGGTACCCCCTCGCAATTTCGCACGTGCAAGGCCCACCCTCTCGCTCGCTCCGTTAGTCGCCCCAAAAGGCGTTATACTTGTTGCAGCAGAGTTCCTTTGAAAAAAAATGACCACGAAGAATAACCGAAGGCCCGTCATGCCTTCTTGAGTTCGATATACCCAAGAGCCTCGTATTGATTCGTTCATGGAGGGTCTCACACGATAGGCGTTATCACAAGTGTATTCGCGGCCATTGGGGCGACGTAAGAAAAGAAGAAACCAACTGGCCCCAAGAACTTTAAATTATCAGTTAGCATGCACCTTTTCCTTGATGTGTAGAGAATTTGCCATTATTTGTTACAGAAAACTGCATTTAAAATCTTCCATTTATGCTTTTTTCATCGTTTGCACAATATGTTCTTTTACTAAGCTAGAAACAGTAATTAGAAATAGTTCCCGCATCATCAAGAACAATAGGGAAGGCTTAAAGTGAATAAAATAATTTAAATGGTTTTGTAATCTATGTGAAGGCACTTCTAAAATTGCCTGTAGAAATATTGAAGGCAAAAGTTCAACTTTTTCACAAGACGGATGTCTATAAACCTATTTAACTTGTGACAACTCAGCCGGTATTTCGTCGCCTACAGCCCAGCTTTCCCTAGTGACCGATAGAGGCGCTGCTATCGATGTCCGCCCGTGCCGCCTAACGCAAGACTAAAATGGCTAAAAGCAATAAAACAAAAACAAAACAAAAATGAGAGAGATCCTCCAGAAGACTTCCTTGCATTAGATATTCATATTATATTACCTAATCTCTCTTCACAAGCTTTTTGTGCGAGTCTCACCCTCCCGGTAATAGCAGCGTGATTGTTAGTTGTTACTCTTCCCGAGATAGCACAAAGTAGGATCCTCACTCTTCCTGAGGTAGTTGTTCGATTCTCACCCTTCCTGAGGTAGTTGTTCGATTCTCACCCTTCCTGAGGTAGTTGGAGGAGGGCGCCATGCCCTTGTGGCCGCCGAACAGGTAGTTGTGGAAGCTCAGCACGGCCCGGTACGGGTTGCGCACGATCACGATGGCCGTCCTGTTGAAGCGCTGCACCTGGTCGTCACCAAAGTCGTGCACCTTCTGCACGATGGTGGTACCCTCCTCCGGACTGGAGAGCTCGCCCCAGTAGCCTGAAAAAGAAAAATAGAGAAGAGCGTCAAAACCGAAAACAGGAGATTGTTTAATGTTTATTGTCACAAACATCCAATCATATACACTGAGAAGGGCTATTCTATGATTTTCGTCATCTGGAGAATCGGAGAATCGGAGATCGGATAAGATTTACCACGAACAATGGTAAGACTAGAGAGCTCGCCTCAGCAGTCTGAGAAACATGTAACGGAACGTCCGAACAGAAGCGAGAAGAGGAGACGATGCGAGACGATACGAAACGAGACTGAATGAACGAAGACAGACGTCCAGCACAAGACCCGGCACCCCCCCCCCCCCGTCTCTCTCCCCAGTACCCTGGGAAAGAAGGTGAGGAGACGAGAGGAAAACGTCCAAAAATGGGAACGGAGAGCCAGACAGATTATTTCTACACCCAAAGAGATAACCACTCAAACGAAGCTCCCACTCGTTATGACGCCACTCACCGATGCTGTACAGGCCCATATCGTAGTAGATGCTGCCGGTGAACACGCCCGATGCCAGTTCGAGCATGTAGCGTGTCCAGGTGTTGCCAGATCCCGGGTAGCTGCTGAGGGCCACGATAGGCAACGTGCCACGCTCCGCAAATCTACCACGTAAGGTAAAACACAGTCAGTCACGGCTAAACGGGTCAAAATGCACTACAGAGTACTGTGGGGACGTAGGAAAAACACCATCGGGGTGACAAAATACTAGGTATATTGTAGTTCACCACAGTGAAAACTGATGGAGACAGACGGCAAACGAAAAAACTACGGCAAGGTGCAACAGTCGCCGCAGAAAAGCTCTTCGTGACTTATCCAAGGATTCATCATCATGTTTCCTCTTTTCTTTCACTCTTGCAACCCACAGATGCAACACATGAATTGTAGCTCAAGTGACTTCTATTGCGCTAGCTAAGACACACACACTTCACAGTGTGAAGGGTGTGTCTTAGCTAGCGCAATAGTTCACACCCAAAAGTGCAAATCTGCACTGATTTGCTCAACCTGAACACCGCAAAGAGTGGAACACGTTTTCTGGCTGACCGAAACACAAATGATAGTGACAGACTGCAAAAGTCATTTGCTCACGGGTTGCGAAAATACCACAATCGTTCGTCGCAGACCACAATGACATGAATTTGCCAGGACTGGCATGTAACATGACCATATTTCTTACAACATTAGCATCTGTCGTATGCTCATGGCTATATTCCGTGCGCGTTGACCAGAAAATGGAGAAAGGTGACACTTAGCGGACTGTTAAACGACCGTTGTCACAGTCAAGGATTTACTTTGAGGAATTGTAGGTTTCTCCCATCTTTTTCTCTGAAGAAGTGATGGTTATGGACACGATATGAAAGAAGAGATATGATACCGGTACCTATAACAAATGTATAGATATTAGTTGCAGTCATGTAGACCACAGAGGCAAAGGTAAATCGGTCACACTTTCACGAATTTACATAAGCTTTACTGGTCCAGTATTTTACATATATGGTCACCGAATGTGTACCTACGTGTAGTGTGTGCACGAGGAATGAGGATGGGAAAGGGCCAGAGTCAATCCAAAATTGCAAATTTAACCCGGCGGCCGCTGGGCCTCCGCGCCACCCGCCGGCCGCTGGGGGGGGGGGGCATATAGTTGCCCCCCCCCCTTTACTTCTGCGACGATATCGTCGCAACGCGAAGATATAGAAAAGCGAAACTTTGCACACATCTTTCGGAATACCTAGCCGAGGTTGTGTCCAAATTTGGTGTCGATCCCATTTGAAATGACGTCACAGTGACGTCATAAGTGAAATTATAGATTTGCGACTCTCATATTCCTCACGATACATCAGATATATGGGACCGAATATAAAGGGTCGATTATTGGTCAGAAACTAGATGAAAGTGTAGATAGATGTTTTAGGATGACAGCAGGTGCTGTCTAGTTCATTTACAGTTGAGTTTCATGCTCAGCGTCATCAGAAACGGTCCATATCGGAAAACGAAAAAACTTTATGACGTCACTGTGACGTCATCTTAGGTGCTACAACCACCAAACTTTCCTCAAACATTGCCTAGGTATTCATTTGAAGCTATGCCAAGTTTCACGTTCGTAGCTCATCAAGTTTCGGAGATATTTCACAAAACGTAAAGGGGGGCCCCCCCAGCGGCTCGTGGGTTAACCCTCGCCCATGTAGGGGGGGTTGGTGCAACCCCCCCCCCCCCTGAGGTTTTTCGGAAATAGTGCTAAAACGGCGGCGCGCAGCGCCGCCAAATTTTGGGTACCTTATGGGGCAAACCTTGCGCATCTTTTGATAAAAAAAATTTGACCGGGTCATGTCAGGTCACGGAGTTATGACGTCACAAAGGGAACAGCCTCCGGCCGGATTTTCACAAACTGAGTGCCAACGCCCGAGGTTTCCTGCCGGTGGTACGGACATCGGTTGATGGATCGTGATGAAACTTCCCATGCATGTTGGGGCAAGTATTGGCTATCATATGGTATAAGAAACTTGACCGGGTCAGGTCAGGTCACGGAGCTATGACGTCACAAGAGGAACAGCGTCCGGTACTATTTTTGAAAAGCGCCCGAACCACTATTTTGCTAATTCTTGTCACCTCAATGGGAATATGCAGCAATATTAGCTTCTATAGGGAGCAAATGGACCTTCCAAATCCAAAAATACAATCATATTTCAAAAATTTAAATTTTGATTTTTCGAATTTCTGCCGCCGACTGTGACCTTGCCGACTTCCGGCGCTCCCAACGCGCCATTTTTAGAGCTAGGGAAACGAAATACATACCAAACGATAGAGAATTGATCAAGAAACACGATAGTGAAGGTTTCAAGTCGATATCTCTCACCGTGTTGCCGCAATCGCCGCGGAAAGTTGAAAAAAAGTCTATTTTTCCGAAAATTTGACCTTTGACCGGTCAAAAGTAGGTCAAATGTTGACCTAGGACCAAAAAATATACCACCAATCGCGAGATCTCGGCGAGAGCAATCCGCTGGTTTTTTTCCGCTAAGCTCTACGACGCTCCGTTTTCAAACGCCAAGGGGGGGTCGCACCAACCCCCCCCCCCCCTGCATGGGCGAAGGTGGCAGATCGCCGTTTACGGGCGAGGGTTAAGTTTTTCACGTCTCACCTGATTCCATACTGACTGCAGCCCTCGACTCCCTCCCAGGGCCAGCGAACCGGCTGCTGCTGCAGTCGCACGCGCACCTCACCATCGCCGGAAGTGGACGCTTCCGGTGCGGCTCTGAAATGACAGAAATCGGGCGGTCAGAAGTAATATTACAGATATGTCACTCAAATGTCCGCGTTCCAACATATCCGCCTTTAGCCCGCTGCTATCTGGAAAAATTAAGGCGACTTCGCACGAGGAGCTTAGGTAGCCTGGAATTACAAAGCTTATTGCTTACGGTTTATATCCATGAAATTAATCCCTCACTTGCATATAATGGCACGCTACGCTACGTTAACCTGAGCATTAACCCACTTAAACGCGTGCGAACAGCTGCCCACATCACAAACACATAATACATTTCATTTCGGAGGCGCGTTGCACGGCTCGAGTGTAACAAGTTATGATAAGTCCTATATGCGCCGTGCATCATCCCTCCCAGGGAGCTATATAACACGCCCCAGCACTGAAAGCAGTCCTGCGATGACGAAACCGGACCCTTGATGTAATCCACTTGCCGCCTGGGGCACGGAGAGTCAGGTCCTCAATGAGCACGGGCCCCAGGGCGCGACCCTGCGAAACACCTCTCTCCTATGTCAGGGCATTAGTGTTACGCAATGACCGGAGGGCATAGACGATCGATAACTATCTGGGAGTGGACATCCTCCCCGCAGGGAAGCGATCACCGAGCGAGGAGTCAGGAGCGTCCATATGAGAAGGTCCTACACACACGATGGTCTTCATCGAACCGTAGAGCGTTCGGCGGTACGTCAGGTAAAGCAAAATTCGGTGGACGGTGTTCATTCATGCACGCTTCACTTAAATGTAAAAAACGCACAGTTTACGTTGCAAGATAGTCCGAGCATTTTTATAGTTTACCACATGTCCTGATGGCACACTTCGAGAAGCATTGAGGTCTTATCTATAAGATTGGGCGTTACACGACGTAATATCATCTTAGTTCCCAAAGCTCCCACAAACCGTTCCGTGATGTAACACGATCTTGCACGAATTCACGAGCCCGTGTGAACCTCGTGCAAAGTTTGTCCGGGCACCGTCGGAAAGTTTATCCCCAGTTCACACGGCGTTTAGCCACGTTTGACCGCCTTATTACTCCGCAGTCTAGCTATGGACGGTCCACGTTGAAATTTCAAGACAATGCAGCATGAAATCACACTGAACTCCCGTTCTTCGATGCGTGCAAGTGTTTATTGATTAATGATGTTTAGGTAAATCATATTACACACCGAAACAAAGATACCGGCTGCCTGCAGTTGTCTTATTCAGGAGTACCCAATGTCCGTGATACTTATGTTACCTCGTGACTATTATAGAATTTGGCGATCTCCGAATATACGATAAACGACTGATACCTTACATCAAATCCTCTACAGTATCAAAGCTACCAACTCAAGGCCCTCACCAACCCCAAAACCACAGCCTGCAGCGACCCAGAAATGCGAAACCCCACTTTGTTTTCACGCATCGTTGACTTTTGCGTCAGTCCGTTGCCTCGGCACCGTCGTGACGAAACGATGCAAGTATATCGCCACGTGACTTTAATTGTTGAACGCTTACGAACCGTGAAGATAGTGGTGGACTGAACCGAGATGTGATATAAAATGTAGATGCGTTTTGATGGTATCCTTATAAGTGCTGATGCAGATTGCATGTTCCGTTGAAGATGCGTGATGAAAAAAAAACAGAATGTAGCGTTCCGATAAGACATTGCAAGTAAACATGAGAGTTTCAAATTACGTCAAGAAAGCAGAAGGCAAGCGAGGATAGGTAATCATCTTACTCTTCCCCTGGTTGTTAGTACATTCATAATAAAATGGGTCGGAGATCTGGAACTACCACTCCCAATGTGCTATTGCGCTGTTGCAAGGAATTCAGCCGGGAAAAAAGAATGGCATAGGCTGTAATTGTATTCAGACATGTACCCATATTGTTTCTGAGCTTCGCAACGGAACGCACTCCCATTATCACTCTGGTATGCACCGACCCAATAGACCGCTGCCGACTGCACTGGCAGTGCCCGAGACGTCACGGTCAGGCCGACCGTTACGTCGTTACGTCACCGGTTACGACGTGACGCCCGGGGCGGGGTCTGAGGTAGGGTGGAGAGGAGCGAGGTGATCTCGGTGTGGTGAAGAGAGGGGTGTATGGACTGAACAAACCGGCTTTCGGCACTGTGTTGGAAAAGACCGTGAGGAGATAACGCGGTGGTGGTTTCCACGGTGAACTTTAATGTTATTGTAATTCAGTTGAGATAAATGAAGTCAACAAGTCCAAATCAGCTAGAAGACAATTACTGTGATCCTACAGATCACTTTATACATTACCTACATTAGTGTGCAAAACGCTTGAAGAAAAGCTGAGCATCGACACCATCACATACATTGCATAATGTTTTCGCTAAAAAAGACATCACCCACGGCCTGCAGAATCACGACAATCACCCAATTACGTCACTGACCTCAATAACGCTGAATCAGCAGGAGTCTGCACAGTTGACCCAGAATGAGTCACTAAGTAACAGCGAAGGCCGTGAAAGGTGTGGGTAAAGATGATGACAAGACTGTCATGAGAGGGTTAAGTGATTACTATGTCATGTCCGATTGCAGCGAGGTTAGGGTGCAAGGCGCTGGCGGGCTGGGTTCAATAATTCTTCAAAATTGCCAATTGGCCAGTTGGGCTGCAACCAAAGCAGGAGCATAGGTATTTAAAAATGGCACATGATCTAAAAATGGAATGCTCAGCTGAGCCATGGGAATAACCTTTATTTCATCGGAGGCACTAATCAAGAGTTGCGTTTGGAGAACCGATAGGCGTTATCACAAGTGTATTCGCGGCCATTGGGGCGACGTAAGAAAAGAAGAAACCAACTGGCCCCAAGAACTTTAAATTATCAGTTAGCATGCACCTTTTCCTTGATGTGTGGAGAATTTACCATTACTTGTTACAGAAAATTGCATTTAAAATCTTCCATTTATGCTTTTTTCATCGTTTGCGAAATATGTTCTTTTACTAAGCTAGAAACACTAATTAGAAATAGTTCCCGCATCATCAAGAACAATAGGGAAGGCTTGAAGTGAATAAAATAATTTAAACGGTTTTGTAATCTATGTGAAGGCACTTCTAAAATTGCCTGTAGAAATATTGAAGGCAAAAGTTCAACTTTTTCACAAGAAGGATGCCTATAAACCTATTTAACTTGTGACAACTCAGCCGGTATTTCGTCGCCTACAGCCCAGCTTTCCCTGGTGACCGATAGAGGCGCTGCTATCGATGTCCGCCCGTGCCGCCTAACGCCGAGTCATCATAAGTCAGCAATCCTGACTCACCAGAGTAAAAGCTATGCACCATTCAGCGTGACTCATCAAGAATCGTGTAAGACACTGCAATGCTTTCTTCGTTCAAAAAGGTTCGTTTTATGACTGTAAGCCTAGCCATAAATAATGGATACAACTTTCCGTATGGACACTTTTTCAGACCACTGGTACTATATCTAAGTGAGCTTTCTCTATATATCAACACCCTAGATTATTCAAGTAATATCATCCCAGCTTGGGAGGATATTACTTCCATTGGAGTCGTCCTTCAAGGCCATTCCACGAACTGAGGGTGATTTAGTCCAATCGGTGGGCGGTTTGCCTCAGGAGACCACACGCCGGAGGTAAATTTCAGGTAAATTTCACCAGCAGGTGGCATGGTAACACAAACAGGTAATTATGGGAGGACGAGAGAAAGAGAGAGAGAGAGCCGAGAGAGAGAGAGAGAGAGAGAGAGAGAGAGAGAGAGAGAGAGAGAGAGAGAGAGAGAGAGAGAGAGAGAGAAAGAAAAAGAGGGGGAGAGAGAAAGAAAGAGAGAGAGAAAGAGAGAAAGAGAGAGAGAGAGAGAGAGAGAGAGAGAGAGAGAGAGAGAGAGAGAGAGAGAGAGAGAGAGAGAGAGAGAGAGAGAGAGAGAGACCATTCTTTCCAAATCAAGAGTACGCACTACGGGTATAATAGTCATAATTCATGAAAGATTCAGGCTGGCACGGTCCGCCGACATCAAAACAACGGTGCGTCAGCTGATTATTGGTCCTCCGATTCAGGAGAAATTATTAACGCGGGAACGCCGGCGCTAAATAAAGGCGGTAGGATTCACGGCTTTGCATGATTGTGTGCAATATTTTTTATAGTATCAAGCGAGGGGTATTGCTGGAGTTTTGCAAATAAATAATTTATTCTCAGTTTGGCTATGCGATCGTGAACACTTTATTTTCATAGATACGATATGAAATAGTATAAACAGGCCAACCCAAGGCTATGTAGGCCAACCTTAGACTTCGCATAGCCATGGACATTGCGTAGGAAGGTACTCGCCGATCGTACCACGATACCACGGGCAAGATATCAGACTTTTGGGAGTTTTGTGTCGCTGAAATGTATTTTAAGTGCTAAGAAGGAAAATAATTCAATTTAATGTCATGCACAATGGACATTTAGCCATTCCAAGCATATAGTTTGCCTGGCTTCGCCAACCAGATAGCCAGGTTTATTCCAAGAGCTTCTAAAGAGGTAGTGGATTTAATATCGTTTCTATTACATTTATTTGATAATCCTACATATCAGTGAAACCTGCCACGTTATCATTCTCGTCGAGCGATTACCGGCACATCGTACCAATTGGTACGATGTGCCGGTAATCGCTCGCCGAGGATGCCAATGCAGCGTCGAGCGTCCGATGGTTTACGATAGGAATTATAACAATAGTTTTAAACTAGCGCTTTTTAGAACCATGGTCCGAAATGGTAATTCAAAGAACCTCTTCCCCTTTCAACTCACCTGAAAAAGCTGCTTTCGTGTACCACCCAGCACCCGTTTCGTAGATATATCAAAATGATAACCGGAGGCGAAGATTATCTTTATGATACCACGATTTGTGGGGCTGACTAGTACCGACGGGGATCCCACAAACACGACGGTCACATTCATTAAGCATGATGTACGGCGTAAAGCACCACAACTCACCCCAAAAGCGCAACCTTCTGAGATATCTTATATTTAGTTTCAATGCTGGTACTGGTG